TCCATACTACGCATGCACATCTATCATGTTATACACCTGAAATCATTATAAGGCTGTGTCACTCATACCTCAGCAAACAAACAGAAACCTCGACACAATTATGTAATCCTCACATAATCAACCAAATAACAAGTGATGCTATTAGAAAACACTCTGGCCCTCGCTGGTTGCTCAGTGGGTAGGGCGTTGGCTCACAGACTGAAGGGACACAGGCAGGTTCATTCCCGGCCCCAGGGGTTGGGGAGCACGGCAGGAGGCAGCCAGTCGGTGTGTCTCTCACACAGATGTCTCTCTCTGTCTCTCCCCCTCCCTTCCATTCTCTCTAAAAAAGGGAAAATATCCTCATGTGAGGATTAACAAAACAAACAAAAAAAATGCATAGACATAGAATCACATAAATAATTTTAAATCTTCTAGTAGTCACATTAAAAAGGCAAAAATAGGCAAACTTATGTAATATGCATTATTTAACCCAATATGAAATGTTACCACTCAACGTGTAATCAATACAAACCATTACGTGAGATGTTTTCTGTTCTTTTCCACATCGGCTCTTGGGAACCTGGTGTGAGTTCACACGCAGAGCACATGGCGCGGACAGGCCACCCCCGGGCCCGCCAGCACAGGTCCCTGTGTCGGACAGCTCAGTCACTATAAAGCTGAGTAACGGTGCACCGGCATGCGGACGGGCACGTGACAGGAAAGGAGAGAAGTTAGAGGTCAGAAGTTACCCCTCACATCTGTAGCTGATTTCTGACAAGAGGAGAGAGTCGTCTTCTCAGCTAATGGACAGCCACACACATCGATGACACCCGACCCCGACCTCACACCATTCACCAATTTTACCTCAAAATGGATCACAGCCTAAAGGCAAGAGCTAAAACTAGTAATTCTTGGAAGAAAACAGGTTCAAATCTTCATGCTCTTGGACTAAGCAATGGTTTCTTATATGTGACACCAAAAGCACAAGCAACTAAAGAACAAAACCAGTTAAACTGATTTCATCAACTCTGAAAACTTCTGTGCATCAAAGGACACCACCAAGAAAGTGAAAAGACTCCCCACAGAATGGGAGGACCTGTTTACAATTTATATACCTGACAAAGAAATTACATGTGCAGAACTCATAACACGCAGTAACAAAAAGACAAATAACCCACTTTTTAAATGGGCAAAGGATATGAGTAGACACTTTCCCAAGGAAGATATCTCAATGGTCAATTAGCACATGGAAGGGTGCTTAACATAATTAGGAATATGCAAATCAAGACCAAAATGAGAGACCACTTCACACACACTGGGATGTGTAACTAAGTAAAAGAGTGGACAATGACAAATGCTGGTGAAGGTGTGGAGAAACTGGCCGTCGCATGCATTGCTGGTATCCCAGCTGCTCTGAAAAGCAGCCCTCAGTCCCTCAAAATGTCACACGGAGCTCCCGATGGCCCGCCACATATATGACAGATATGAACACTTAGGTTCCCACAAGAACTAGCACAGGACTGCTCTGAGACGCATCATTCATAATATCCGAAAAAGGGAACCGCCCCTTCCCCTCAGCTGATGAACAGATAGCAAAGGAGGTGTTTCCCACAGTGGGTACCACGTGCCTATAAAAAGGAATTACTGGGCCGAAACCGGTCTGGCTCAATGGATAGTGTCGGCTTGGGGACTGAAGGGACCCGGGTTCAATTCCGGTAAAGGGCATGTACCTTGGTTGCGGGCATATCCCCAAGAGAGGGTGTGCAAGAGACAGCTGATCGATGACTCTCATCGATGTTTCTAACTCTCTATCTCTCTCCCTTTCTCTCTGTACAAAATCAATAAAATATATTGTTTTTAAAAGGAATTACTGAGGCACGCGGCTACAAAATGGGTGAACCCTAAAAACATACCGGACAAAGTCAGTGGCCAAAGACCACTTACTGCCTGATTTCATTTGTAGGAGATTTCCAGAAATGGTGAATCATTAGCGACAGGAAATAGATTAATGACTGCCTAGGGCTGGGGAGGGAAGAATAGGAGTGACAGTTAATGAGTAAAAGGTTTCTTTTCCGGATTATGAAAATGTTCAAAAATTAGAAAGTAGTGATCATTGTAAAATTTTTTAATATGGTACACTTTAAATATATTTCATTGATTTCTTACAGAGAGGAAGGGAGAGGGATAGAGTTAGAAACATTGATGAGAGAGAAGCACCAATCAGCTGCCTCTTGCACACCTCCCACTGGGGATGTGCCCACAACCAAGGTACATGCCCTTGACCAGAATCAAACCCGGGACCTTTCAGTCCACAGGCTGATGCTCTATGCACTGAGCCAAACCAGTTAGGGCTGAATGGTACACTTTAAAAAGGTAAAGACTACGTGTAAACTACCCTGTTTCTCCGAAAATAAGACAGTGTCTTATATTAATTTTTTTCTCCCAAAGTTGCGCTAGGTCTTATTTTCAGGGGATGTCTTATTTTTCCATGCGCTAGGTCTTATTTTCGGAGGATGTCTTATTTTCGGGGGAACACGGTACATCTCAATAAGCAAGCCTCCCCCCCAATCACCCCACGGGTCACCCTGCAGAGGGAGGCAACCATAAGCGGCGGCAGCAGGCGGCACCAGGCTGGCCGAGGCAGTGCCAATTGCCCCACAGATCGGCCCTGATCACCAGCCAGGTAGGGACCCTATCCGTGCCTGAATTTCGTGCACAGGTCTGTAGTATTTTTATAAAAAGAGAACATCAGCATGCTCCAAATATGGCTTAGTCATGATCGGAGGGCAGGATTGTATCCGTATTTTTTCCCTCCTGATTTACCTATTTAACCATTTTCCTGAATGGAATTCCTGTTTTAATAATAAAAAAAAAAAATTGTTTTGTTTTGTTTTGATTTTAAAAGGGTGTTTTTAGAAACTAAAAATTATTTAAATACGTTCCTATTTTTATAAATGCATAAGATTTGCTCCCAAAAGAGATGAATGACATACACCAAAACATTCCTGGTGAGGCAACAGGAAATATTTGCATTTTCTAAATATTCTCCATGAACACATTGGCCTTTTTTAAACAAACTAAGGACATTCACACAGCACACATGCACATGCACACACACACTAAGCTTCCGGTATTACAGCAGCACGGCTCCAGACACGGCGAGAGGGAGCGTGGACGAGGGCCAGGCGGTGAGTGGCGCCGTGGGGCGCCGTCCACAGCTCCCAGTGCTCCGGGCTAACACCCGGGCCACGGTGTCCGGGGAGGGGGGACAGCCCGAAGGATGACGGCTGCATCCGAGACACGCAACTCTCGCTGGGCACACCTGTCCCGGGGGGCGGGGCCCCATTCCGAAAGGCACCTGCCTGCCCTGTGGCTGGAGTGCCCTCTGCACCACCTCGGCCCAGCGCGCCGGATGACGCTGACACCAAACCCAGAGCCGAACGAAGGCCTCGCACCGGGTCCTCTGGGCCAGGCTCTGACTTGGGCCACAGCCCCCGCCCTGCTGGCGAGGCTCCAGACCCAGCGGCCAGGGGAGGGGAGCCACAGACAGCAGCAGAGGCGCCCCGGGGACTGTGGGAGCAGCAGTCCCCCCGCCCCGCCTCCCCACAGCGAGGCACGGTGCACACGCCAGGCCTGCGCCGCCCAGTGTCCCCGCCGGGGAGACTCCCAGACTGCGCACTGAGGCCAGCCGCGGGGAAAACGCTTTTCCTTCGATGCTACTTCGTGCCTGCTCTGGTGTGCGCCCTTCCAAAGCCCCCCAGCCTCCCGCCCTCCAGAGCGAGCGGCCTGGGTTCCACTCTCACCGCACCCCATGCCCGGCACCGAGGGCGGCTCCGCAGGGCACCTGCCTCTGGAAGGACATGCCCGCCCAGGGCGGACGGGCACACAAAACCGAAACCCCACCAGGCGCTGCAGCGGACGGGCGCCGCCTCCCGAGGGCCCGGCGTTCCCAGCGCGGGACCCGGGCCGCACAGCCCGCCTGCAACGGACCCACAGCGCAGCCTGGCCGGGCCTCGGGAAAACGAACGCTCCTTTCAGTTTCCCACAACTGGCGAGCACCATGGCATCGACCGACATCCTCCTACTCCAGGGCTCCTGGTGGAGCGACGCAGAACAAGAGCATGCGCCACAGAAATGACTCCTGAAACCCATATGATCACCCCATCAATGTCACCCCAAAACATGCAATTTTAAAAATTTTAATAAAAAGTGAATGCGGGAGAAAACAAGAATTTGCTGCGCCATTGGGGAAAAGCGCTGTACTCACACCTGCCGTATGGAGGTGAGGGAGGACCCCCGCCCTGCCCCCGCCCGCCTCATCCCTGGCCCCAACGCCCAGCACAGCCCAGCGCCCCGCTTGACAGACAGCACCTGTGCCCCCTACTGCCTTCCCCATCACCTCGGCTCTCCCCTTCCCCCTGCTGCCCCGAAACCAAACCGTTTTTATCCCATGAAACGCCTGCTCAAATGCTAGGTTTTGCAAAGCATTTCCTAATACCTGCAGCCAAGAGGCACCAAACTTTTGCTACAAATGACCAGGTAATAAATATTTTAGGCTTCGTGGACCACTGATGGTCCCTGTTACATGTTCTTCTTATCTTTTTAAAAAAATATATTTTATTGGTTTTTTTTTACAGAGAGGAAGGAAGAGGGATAGAGAGCTAGAAACAGTGACCAGCTGCCTCCTGCACACGCCCCACCGGGGATGTGCCCGCAACCAATGTACATGCCCTGGACCGGAATTGAACCTGGGACCCTTCCGTCTGCAGACCGATGCTTTTTCCAGAGCCAGACCGGTTTCGGCTCCTCTTATCTTCACAAGCCTCTGTGAACATGCCATCATTTCTAAGACCGTCCTTCAGCCTCCTCTAAGTCCTCTGCCCACGCTGCACTCTGCCTGGGCTCGGCTCCTCCCGCCCGTGACCCACGCCAGGATCATCGCTCTGCTCTAACCCGCACGGCACCCCTGCCTGCCACAGCTCACACCTGCGTGTGCCCCCTCACACGGCTGTTCTCAAAGACAGAGACACCTGGCGGCCCTCGCCCCTGTGCGCCCGGTGCAGAAGCGCTCTGCGGAGCTGCGAGCTCAGCGGCTGGCGGCACTGCTGAGGCCGCCGCACCAGCAGTGGGGCGCGGGCGGGGCGAGCAGGCCTCACCGCACTCCCTCCGCGGCCGCGCAGGTGCACCGGAGCCCTTTCATTGACACGGACTCCCAGGCCCCTCCGGCGCCCGCACAGCCTGTGCTGCACACGCAGGCCTCCGGCCTCCGCTGAAAGGTCCAGACTAAAACCTGAGCGCCGTCCTCACGGGGCGGACACCGTTTCCAGGAGCCTGGAAAGCAATCCTACCCACAAACTCCCACAAAACGGAGAGCAGGACTTTATTCTTCTAGAAACCTCCATCCCCGCCAAGGGTGTACTTCCCTCGTGAGGAGAAGGGCCTTCCAGCTCATCACTTCTTGTGAAATGTCTGACCACTGCGAGACACTCAGCAGCTTCTGTCACCAGCACGCCCTCTGAAAAACATGGCAGACACTCCTCCCCCGCCTGGCCAGGCGCCTCCTGCTGCACGCATTTCCACTGGGAACGGGCGGTGCCCACCGCTGTGGCAAGTAAGGCGCCCACTCCCCGTATCCTGCTCGCCCACGAGACTGCCACATGCCCACCGTCAGCCGGGTGTGGACCGAGCGCCGTCCTTCGTCCTTCTGTCTCACGAGACAAGACACAGGTGCCCGGGCAAGCCTGAGGCCTGGAGGGAACTGAGGACAGGAGGGGACGGAGGACAGGGGAGGACGGAGGACAGGGGGGACGGAGGACAGGGGAGGACGGAGGACAGGGGAGGACGGAGGACAGGAGGGGACGGAGGACAGGGGAGGACGGAGGACAGGGGAGGACGGAGGACAGGGGGGGACGGAGGACAGGGGAGGACGGAGGACAGGGGAGGACGGAGGACAGGGGGGGACGGAGGACAGGGGGGAACTGAGGACAGGGGGGGACGGAGGACAGGAGGGGACGGAGGACAGGGGGGGACGGAGGACAGGGGGACGGAGGACAGGGGGGGACGGAGGACAGGGGGGGACGGAGGACAGGGGGACGGAGGACAGGGGGACGGAGGACAGGGGGGGACGGAGGACAGGGGAGGACGGAGGACAGGGGAGGATGGAGGACAGGGGGGGACGGAGGACAGGGGGACAGAGGACAGGGGGGGACGGGGGACAGGGGGACGGAGGACAGGGGGACGGAGGACAGGGGGGGACGGAGGACAGGGGGACGGAGGACAGGAGGGGACGGAGGACAGGGGGGGACGGAGGACAGGGGGGACGGAGGACAGGAGAGGACGGAGGACAGGGGGGGACGGAGGACAGGGGAGGACGGAGGACAGGGGGGGACGGAGGACAGGGGAGGATGGAGGACAGGGGGGGACGGAGGACAGGAGGGGACGGAGGACAGGAGGGAACTGAGGACAGGAGGGGACAGAGGACAGGAGGGGACAGAGGACAGGAGGGGACGGAGGACAGGAGGGAACTGAGGACAGGAGGGAACTGAGGACAGGAGGGGACAGAGGACAGGCGGGGACGGGGGACAGGAGGGGACGGGGGACAGGGGAGGATGGAGGACAGGAGGGGACGGGGGACAGGAGGGGACGGGGGACGGGGGAATGGAGGACAGGAGGGGACGGGGGACAGGGGAGGATGGAGGACAGGAGGGGACGGGGGACAGGAGGGGACGGGGGACAGGAGGGGACGGGGGACAGGAGGGGACAGGGGACAGGGGAGCTCTGAGCGCAGTGCCCATCCTCCAGCCTGGCTCGAACACTGGCACCTGCGCCAAGGCCACACGGAGGGCCTCCCTCTCCCTTCACTCACAGCCCGCTGAGACCATGAGCACGTGGCTGCCCTCTGAGCTCTGTGCGAGGGGGGGGGGGGGGCACTAGCTCAGGGATCAGCCCCTGCTGGCCCCTCCCCACCGGCACCCCTGCCTGGGCTCTGCTGGCGCTCCAAAAGGCGAGAGAAAATAACCAGAGAAAAAGCCCCTATGCAAATCCCAGCTCTGCGGGAGGGCGGGCCGGGCCCCTGCTCCAGGCAGCACGGTGAGGGCGGGCTTCCCATCTGAAGATCGTGGGCAGGGGCACAGCCCCGGAGGCAGGAAGCAGGGGAACGGGGCTCAGAGGGGGGGCGGGGGGGATGTCAGGGCCCATGGAGGCGGCAGGCAGGTGCCAGGAGAGGGGGCCAGCGCTGTGTGGGCCGTTCCTCGGGAAGAGGCTGTGCGGGGGGGCGGGGGGGAGGCCTGGAGTGACCCTGGGTGACGCTCTGGGTGTCCAGGGGCCGACTGGGGGGAGACCAGGTAGGCAAGGGGTCCTGGGAGGCTGCCCAGCCTTGGAGGCGGGGGAAGGGCTCAGGAGCGCCAGTGGAGAGGGTAGGTGGCTGGCCACGCCCTCTGCCCCGGACACAGTGCCTTTCTCCCGCAGGCTGGCCTGCCAACCCGCTCTGCACCCCGCACAGGGCCTCCCCTCTCTGTCCCGGCCACGCCGGCTCCGCCAGGGAGCTGCCGCCTTTCCTGCTGGGCCCCTGGACTAGGATGGCGCCCCACACCCAGGCCTGGGTCAGGAGGGAGAGGAACACACAGGCCGGAGCGAACGCTCCAGGGCCACGGGCTAAAGACCAACTTGGGGAACTGGGAGCCACGGGGGAAATTATTTTGTTTCTGATGGCACCTGCTCAGAAACCCCCACCCTGCCGGCAGGTCCATTAAATTCTGGTTTCTTAGGGAGGGTTTATCCACACCAGCCGGTGGACAGCGGGGCCCCTGAGCGGGCCCTGACCTCTGAGTGCCCTCTGCGCATTCTAATTCACTCAGAGCAGACCCGCGTGACAGTTAGAACTAAAACACGTCCTTTACTCTTTACGACCCCATCTAACAGCTAAGGCCACGCTGGAGAAAGCACCTCACCTCACAAACATTACCTGCCAAGGCCCACAACCCCGGGACCAGGAGCGCCCGGCACCCTGAGCCCGGCTCCAGCTCTGCACCAGCACCGGGCCAGACAGCCCTCGGCCGTGGGACCGCCCTGGGCATCCCGGTGTTTACCAGCCAGGGGTTTCCAGACACTGCCAAGCATCCCGGGGGACAGCCTGCACACACCCACACCCCCCACCATGATGCCGCGGCCTTTCCCAGCATCACTCTCACAGGCCCGGGCTGGAGCGGGGCTGGATGTGAGAGGCCCCCTCAGACCCATCGGCCCCAATCACGCCGCTGAAACCGAAAGCAGCACGGCCGCACCCGCCACCCTGCAGGCTCTGGGCCGCGACGGCAGCACCCACACTTCCTCTGATGGAGTCTGGGCGCGAGGCTCCGGGAGCCTGCCGCCCTGGGGCGGGGAAGTGCACCCCGAGTCTCCCCACTTCTACAGGAGGGAGATCCCAATGGGAAAGGCCCTGCGGACCGGTGCCTGGACACACATGAGACATGCGTGTGGAGCTGTCCTCGCACGTGTGCAGCGGGGACCACAGCGGCCCTGCCAGCCCGCAGCCTCCCCGGGAGGCAGCTCCGCGTCCGGGGGAGCCCACTCAGGGGGCCCGGCCCGGGACCGACGCAGCAGGACGGTGACGGCCGCGGTCTTGGTGAGCACCGCTCTCTGAACGGTCAGGGAGGGACCTTCCACTCTGTCAGCTGTCGCCGCGGCGGTCCGAGGACCACTGAGGGCCGTGAGGTCCGAAAGGCTGGTGACCGCTGCTCTGAACCAGAGACGCCTGGCACCCGGTGCCCCCCAGGCCACCAGGCCGCGGTGCGGCTCCTCCTCCGACCACGGAGGAGCCGTCACGCCGAGCGAGCACAGCGCTCTCGGCCCGCCCGGCCCCGACGATCACAACTCGTCCCCCAGGCCCACGCCACTGCGCCCAGGCCGAGGGCAGGCAGGGCACACGCTCTCCTCCGGTCACAGGAGAGGCGGCCACGGCCCAGGTGCAGGTTCGGAGACGTCCCTCCCAACGCAGGCTGCTCTGCAGAGGGCGGCGCAGGGGCGTGAGGCAGCTGGGGGGCACCCCCATTTTCCTGTCCTGGAGGAAGTCTCTCAGGGGTTTGTAACATTAGAACACCTGTTACCTAGCAAAAAAGGCAGAAGCCATGACTTCCAGGTAAAACAGACCCCAAAGCCCGGTTAGAAACAGGCTGCTGCTTCAGCCCCGGCCAGTTTGGCTCAGTGGGTAGAGCATCGGCTGGCAGACCAAAGGGTCCCGGGTTCGATTCTGGTCAAGGGCATGTATGTATCTTGGTTGCAGGCTACTCCCTGGCCGGGGCCCTGGTCAAGGCTGGTGCAGGAGGCAACCAATCGATGTGTTTCTCTCACATCCATGATTCCCATGTCTCTCCCTTTCTCTGAAAGATCAATGGAAAATGTCCTTGGGTAAGAGTTCACAACAACAACAAAAGAACGGGCTGCTGCAGGCCGCCCAGCGTGGCTCAGCGGCTGAGCGTCGGCCTAGGAACCAGGCGGTCACAGTTCAATTCCTGGCCAGGCGGCTCAGTCCACAGTGTGGGGCGTGCAGGAGGCAGCAGATCAAATGATTCTTCTCTTCATTGGTGTTTCTATCTCTCTCTCCCTCTCCCTTCCTCTCTGAAATCAATAATAATGATAATAATAATAATACAACATGAAAAAAAAAATAAAGGAAAGGAGACAGGAAGCTAACACTGCGGTTCCCAGACACTATCGCTCCAAAGCACAGGTCCTCCCCGCCCGCCCACGAGCACCCCACCACGGGGAAGCCTGCAGGGAGCCGGCTAAGCTGCCTCCGAGCACGCCTCTCCTCCGGTTTGAACGTAAAGGAATGTGTTCTCTCTAGGACTGCCTCTCACTCTGCGCGGGGCCAGGTCCCGCTCGCAGCCTCCCGGGGGCATCGGCCCAGCCGCCTGCAGGGGTGATGCAGGCCCAGGGCAGGCGCAGCGGCTGCTGGTAACGGAGAGCACGGGGCTGTCTGAGCATCCAGGCCACCATGCAGAGCGGAGGTTCTGGGAAAACACGGCCGGGA